GACCAGAGCAACTGCCCCGTGAACAAATCATGATCATTAGCTTAGTTTCCAATCTTAATGTCCTCTAGCCCCCCTCACGTGGAATATAGGTCACTGATGCTAAATTTTGAATGCTTGTGTCTCTCCCAAATGTCACATCAAAGCTTAATTCTAATGTACAGTATTAAGACCTCTATTAGGCTCTGTCCTTGTGGATAAATCGCTTACAAAAAGAGCTTCATTCACAGAAATTGTTTTTAAAAAGTATGTATGAGAGAAAGACATGGCAGAGGGGCTGGAGAGATGGCTCAGTGGTTAAGACCACACACTGTTCTTGTAGAGGACCAAGTTTGGCTTCCAGCATCCACATTAGTGCTCTCAGTTTCTTGTAAAGTCATCTCCAGGGGGATCCAGTGCCCTCTTCTGGACTCTGTGGGCACCTGCATTCAGACACATGCATGCCCACACACACTTACACATAGCGAAATATAAAAGATACTGTAGTTTAACCTGAAAAAGAAAAGCATGGCAGAGAGCTAGGCTTACAACAGTGACGATAAGTCCCCCAAGGACATGGACATGAACAGCAAGCAATGTTGAAACAATAAACCCTATCTAGATCAATAGCGTCATATACAAAATGCAAACCCAAATTGAAAAGAAAAACAGTCAGGGAGTATACATCTAAAATGAAACAAGCAGATATAAAACTGTGTAACTGAAGCTGAGTCCAGGTTTGCACCAAATTATAATGAAAGAATTCAGTGAGATCTGCCTTAATTCAACTCTGAATGACATCTTTCAGTGAAGTGATAAATAATACAACAGAAAATATGTACAACAAAGGACTTTGGTGACCAGTGTTGCATTCACACCCAAGGTGAGGATGCTGTGGAGTCCAAGGCAGGAAGCCCAGCACCAAGTTAAAACAACACCATGGGAATGGATTGGGAGGAGCCAGTTTAGGCCAACCCAAGAGGAAAATGGAGAAGGAAAGACCACCCTATCTGTGAAACGAGACAATGGAAGACTCCCTCTCCATTTTCCTTCTGCTGTTCTGACTTGCTAGATTTCCTGAAATTATAACTAAGAATTCAGATACCCTAAAAATACTTGTCTCGTCTGTGGACCCTAAATGGGACCCATCAACACTGAGGTGGGGCTATACCTTTGTGCCACACCTGTAGAAATATCTGAAATTCATCACTGGTATTGGCAGATGACTGGACACCCTGTCTCCTGGCCTCATAAGTCATGAGTACCACCCATCGTTGATAGGGACCAGGCTCTTTCAAGGGACACTGGCACCCAAAAGATAAGAGGAAAAGTATAGACACTTCTAGACTAGTCCTGGAAGGCTAGCTGATCCCACCCAGCCAGTGCCTCTTGTTCTAACTGTGCAGTCCTTGAATCCAAATTCAAGCTTACAAAGTCCTCCTTGGTGACAACAGATTCCATCTCTAACAGAAATTTGTTTGGGCTGAGGGGAAAAACTATTACTCATATCTATTCAGTGAACTAATTTCACATCTGAAAAATTTTATGTTTATTGAGGAAGACTCAAAGGATCTTAAATTGCCAGTTATTTCATCTTTTCAAGCTTGTCTTGAAGCTCTTCCTGTGTGACTTTTCATCTTCCTCTCAGGTCCCAATGACACAGACAGATAGCAGCAAATACACAATGCCCCCAAGGCAGCAATGGGGGAAATGAAGAGGCAAGGTTTAAACTCACAGTCACATACTCAAGCAGACCTGCAGATGACACAATATTGAAAGACTCTCAAAGAGTCCCTCATGGCCAGGCATGGCTGCTCACACCAGTAATCCCAGCACTCAGGAGGCTGAGACAAGAGGACCACACGTTAGAGACCAGCCTGGACTCTGTCTCAATACCTGCTCCAAGAATTAATCACAATCTCTCACAGTGACATCTCACTTAACTGGCGCAGACAAAAGGCATGGTGAAAGGACAGGAGCTTAAATTCCACAAGTGTTCATTAATTAGTAACGAACAGTTACTAACAATGACCATGCCACTGAAGATAAACTCTGCTCTTGGATAACAATCTACTGCTGCTGATACATTGCCAAAAGAAAAAAAAAGATATTAAAAAAATTGCTTTCACTCTAATCACTTGAACCTGTAGTGAAAATTCTAATAGGTCTTAATAATAAAAACCCGGAGTCAGATATGGAGGAAAATGCTGAAAGATCAGAGATGTAAAGGAGCAGCCACCAGAGAGACTTTTTACCTCTACCAAATCCTCAGACCAAAGCGGACAAGATCCTGTCTCCATGAATCCTCAGACTGAAGGGAATGAGCTTGTGTCTCCTCCCGCCTTGTGTTCCTCTCTCCACCCAGCCATGTCCTTTCCTGTCTCCACCTCCCTAGTGCTGGGATTAAAGGTGTGTGACTCCCAAGTGCTGGGATTAAAAGTGTGACCACCATCCCTTGACTCTGTTTCTCCTTTAGACTGGATCAATCTCATGCAGCCCAGGGTGGCTCACAGAGCTCCCCCTGCCTCTGCCTCCTGAGTGCTGAGATTAAAGGTGTGTGCCACCGCTGCCTGGCCTCTATGACTAACTAGTGGCTAGCTCTGCATTCTGATCTTCAGGCCAGCTTTATTTGTTAAATCACAAACAAAATATCACCACATGGATCCTTTGGCATTTTATTTCACTGTCATGCTCTAAGAATGATAGTTGGGTAGATACACACACACACACACACACACACACACACACACACACACACACACTTATGCATATACAGGGGACATATATAGGTATGATGGATGTTTTGTTTAGTTGGTTAATTTTTGTATTTATCTTGGTGTATTTATCTTGGTGTATATGTGTACCAGTGTATGAGTATGTGCAAAGATGCCCTTGGAGTCCAGAAGAGGGCGTTGACTCCTCTGGAGCTAGAGTTACAACCAATTGTGATCTACCTAATGCTATGCTAAGAACCAAACTCAGGTCCTACACAAGAGTAGTATGCGCTCCTAACCACTGAGCCGAGTCTCTAGCCCCTGGTCGGTTGGAGTTCTGAGACAGAATCTTATATATAGCCTAGGGTAGCCTCAAACTAATGCTCCTCCTGCCTCAGCATCCTGTGGGCTATGACAACAGGTATGTAACCCTGTGCCAGTCTTAGATAAATAGATGTTTTGTAGGTCATTGACCTCATACTGTTGACATAGCTAGACATCACACCAAACAAACGACATATTTGATATTATGAAATCACATACAGAATGCGCAACTTTCTAGTTACACTTTATATATTTATTGTGTGGGGGGGGGCGTGCACACAGGCTGCAACATGCGTGTGGAAGTCAGAAGACAACTGGCTGGAGTTTGGCTCTCTCTTCCACCGTGTAGATTCCAGGAATTGACCTCAGACTGACAGACTTGGAGACAAGCACTTTTACCCACTGAGCCACCTTGCTGACCCAAAACATGTGACTTTAAGCAGGTAACATTTAAGACACAAATTCACGGAGAGGTTGACCATACAAAAATCACACATGATCAGGTAGATGTGGAAATACATAGAGTAGTAGTTATGGGCTAATAATTAAGAGAGAGTTAGCCAGTAAGAAGCCCTAGCCATCGACCATATTAGTTTTATAGCTAATATGGTATTTTCTGTGTTCATTTGGGGCAACGCGGTGGTGAGACCTGGCAGGACAAAAAAACACCAGCAACAAGTAGAGGTCAAGATCCAGTCATGTGCATCTCTGGGGACTCACTGGACCACAGTCAAACTATAGCAGACAGAATAGCACTTCACAAGGCTAAGACTTAAGGGCCAGAGAGGTGGCTTCGTGTTAAGAGCACCGGCTGCTCTTCCAGAGGACATGGATTCAATTCCCAGCACTTACATGGTGGCTCACAACCATCTGTAACTCCAGTCCCAGGGAGCCAACACCCTCCTCTAACCACCAGCACTGGACAGGCATGTGGAACACTGACACACATGCAGACAAAATACCCATACACTTAAATAAAATCATCATCATCATCATCATCATTATTATTATTATTATCATTATCATTATTATTGGTTTTTCAAGACAGGGTTTCTCTGTGTAGTTTTGGAGCCTATCCTGGCACTCGCCCTGGAGACCAGGCTGGCCTCGAACTCACAGAGATCCGCCTGCCTCTGCCTCCCGAGTGCTGGGATTAAAGGCATGCACCACCAACACCCAGCAAATAAAATTATTTTTTAAAAATTAAGAATTTAGAAAAAAATTTAAGCATTAAGACTTACAGAACACTGTCACATTTTAAGGTGTATGGCTTGTTATAACTGACTCAAAACTAAACCTTGAATTTTCTCTCTGTCTACCTCTGAGCTCTTGGTTTTTGTTCAAGCAAGCTTGCAAGTCAGGGGTAATGCATTGCTGTCACGACTCTTGCCGAGCAGTGTTCTTTGCTCCTCAAAACTGAGATGGATTGGTTTGCAGCAGGATTCAGTTACTATGGGCACATTTCATTTTCAAGTCTGAACACCTTCACAATGATGTGGTATTTTTAGAAATCCTTCTGATATTTCTTTTCAGTGGTACCACTGACTTTATTAAAATACCAACTATAACAAAGCTAAAATCATAAAGGTAAATATTTAGAATGAAGAACACAGTTATGCTTGTTTTTTTAAAAAAGAGAAAATAAGTCAAATTCAAGATGTACAAGAAGAACAAGAACACTGTAGAATGTTCAGTTTGGGTTCTTTAGAAATGAGGAAACCATATTGTGAGATATATATCCAAGATTTTATATATGTATATGTATGTATGTATTATAAAATCTTGTAAATGTGTTCATTTTTTAACCCAGCAATTTTAGCTCTAGGAATTTATACTTAAAAGAATTCCTTTTAAAACATGAAAAGCAGGCTAGAGAGGTTTCAGTAGTAGGGACTTGCCCAGCAGGAGCAGGCCCTGGTTTTATTCCTAACACCATGAAACAACATAAAAAAGATATTGTAGGTTTTTTTTTTTTTTTTTCAACAGGCGTCACTTTCTTCAGGGGTGTAGCCACTTACCAGTGTCCACACTTTTGCAAACAAGCCCTCGCCACACTCGGAGTAAACAACTCTAAACCTTGATGAAACACACTGGGTCGTCAAAAAACAAAACACAAAACAAACCAACACGAAGGTAGAAGGGAAACTGTCTGTCTGGGAAGAGGAAGAGGAAGAGGAAGAGGAAAAGAGGACCCATAGATGGGGTGACAGGTTGGGTGAGTACAGTCAAATGTGTTGTGAATAACGGAATGAGCTATTATTTGTATGATTGATACATGTTAATTAAAACTTTTTTAAAGGAAGTAAAAGGATATGAGACAGGCATGGTGACACATGTAACCCCAGAGTTTACAGGAGTTCAAGGACAGCCTGAGCTACATAGTAAGTTCAAGGCCAGCCTAGGCTACATGAGACCCTGGTCAAGAAATAAAGTCAGAAAGGGAGAGGGAGGGAGGAGGAAGAAAAAGAGGAAATGGAAAACTATTTTAATAAATATATCTTAATTATCCCAAAATATTCTATATAAAAATATCTAATATAAATCTTCTGTGGCCATGGGTTCTACAACCATAGATTCAACCAACTGTGGATGTTAAGGGTTGGGGGTGGGAAACAAGTGGTCCGCTGTTCTGTGTTTCACTCACTCTCTGATAGTCAGTCACACACAGCCCATGACAGTGTGAGAATGCTAAGTGGAAAATGGCTCCGGGTCATCCTACGCTGTCAGAGGGTCAGCGGCAGCCTGACCACCACGTATCACCAGTGTGGCTCGCGTGAATGTATCGCGTCATCTTATGCCACAAGAAGGGTATGTGAGCATAAGAAAATTAGAATGCGACCATTCTCCAATAACATTACAGGGAATTTTTAACAACTGTCCTATTTTGACACTAGCATATTTTATCTTATTGGTGTTTGACATTGAACCCTTAGGGTTCATGCTCGCTATCCATGTGCTTTGCCACTGAGCCGAACCCTGGGGCCCTAAAATAGCATAGCACATGCAGAGTCTGGTGTCACCTGTGACTTCAGGCATCGACTGAAAGTCTTGGAAAGGGTGTCCCCCACGGGTAACGGATGGCACTAGGGAATGCAGTTGTCACCACTATGAGATCCAACCAGCACAGTACAGTGACACAAGGAATGTGCAACCCACAGCCATGTTGTGGAGCACAAGAATTAACATAGCATGTTGTATGCACTCAAGAAGAGCGGATATATTCAAACAGTGGTCAAGGATAAGCATAGAACAACTGCAGTATTTATCCTGCTGGGCTTGGGACCATGTTCATGTAATCAACTGGACTCCATTTGTGGAGTCCCTGTTACATGCCTGGAACTGGCTGTGCAAAGTATGAGATTAGAATTGAGAAGTTCATGTCCCATCCTCGTGAATATGGATAGGTGACATTTTAATCAGTAGAGCATGAAGAGATGACGAGGCGTGACTTCTGAAAGGAGGCTGGAAAAGATGCTTCTCCCACCTGGCTATGAAGAAATCCCTTCCGCAGCCACCCCACCGAGTCTGTGTCTCAAATCACGCCATGTGTAAGCACCCCTGTCATCGTTTCCACCCAGCCTGCCTTCAGCCTGCTCAGCCCAGGGACCTGGTGCCTCAGACAAGGGGCACCTGAGAAATGGTTTCTGCAGCTCCAGCTCCTTCTGCCTCAGTAGCTGAGAGCAAGACAACACAGAGTCAAGAATGCCATCCCATACTCTCTGAGCCAAGACACACGGGGTGAGCCTAGGCCCTATCCCAAAGTATATGATAGACTCTTATGATTCCCCCCCCCCAAGGCCTCATCCTCCCTGGGGAGCAGAAAGGATATGTGATAGATAGGTAGGGTGTTAGTTGGGGGGGTGGCAGGGGAGGAGGGGAGGGAGTGGGAACTGGGATTGACATGTAAAACAATCTTGTTTCTAATTCAAATAAAAAAAAATCTAAAAAAAAAAAAAAAAAATGTCATCCCAGTGTTGTGGTTGGAATGAGAAAACACCTCCACAGGCCATGTGTTTGAACACTTGGTCCCCGGTTGGTGGTACTTTTAAATAGAGAGTATGGAAACTTTAGGACATGCATCCTTGCCGTTTATTGCAGTTTGCATTTCCAGTTCTCTCTCTCTCTCCCTCCCTCCCTCCCTTTTTTCTCTACACACACACACACTATACACACCAGCAAAAAAAAAAAAAAAAAATGTGAACATGAAACAGAGAATAACATTTAACCTCAACAAAAACCACACACATAAAAATTTTTCCCATGCCTGGGGACCGTGAGAAAGCTCTTTGGAGACCAATTTTAGAAAGCCTAATTGTCCACAAGCCTGACTGCTGGACTCTGAAATCTATCCATATGTGGCACTGAGGTCACACTACCCACAGGTAGCTTCAGGCAACGACTCAGCACAGGGCAGCACTTACACAGCCCACACCCAGCTCCAGCCCATTAAGACTCGTACTGTCTGTCAGTCTCACAACCTCTGACAGGACTCACACAAGGTCCTGGACTCACAAGGTCACTTGAGTCTTGTTTAGTAAAGATCTGACACTGATGTCTCGAAAATACCAATAATTTTCTAAGAAGAAACCCCCAGTGTTTCTCTCTCATGGTCCTTGCAAATTCTGTAGTTGTCTACTCAGAAACAGGAGACTTCTGGCAGCCAGCATTGGCCCAGGGATACCCTGGCGTCTTTGAAGAGCCATCCTGAGTACTGCACACTAGTCAAGAACAGTTCCACCCACCCTCCGGACATCTCTCTGTAGGGGACACCATCGCCACACCTGCTAGGGGCTGGCTACAGGCATGCCTGACGACACCTTCGAGGGCATGGTCAGGGTGCCGTGGGGAAGGTTTAAGAGTGAGGGGCGAGCACATGGAAGCCCTTTCTTCCTTTTCATCCTCAGCTTGCTGTACTTACTCCGTGCCCTGCCTGCTGGCTAGGTTGCTCTGTAAGTAAGGCATCTCCCTAATAAATACCCTTATATGTTTACCTGACTCCGTACTGGTAATTCTCCCATTATCTCTCCCACCTTTTCAGGCCTCTTTCCGTTTTCTCTCAGTCACATTACATAGTAAAATCTCTGTGTGCCTTGTCACATCTCAGTGTCTGCCCCTTGGAGAGAGCCAGAGGCTTACATGCCATTGACACAGGGAGAGAGATCTGGGAATGTTTTACCTTCAGCTGAGTCATCTACACTCTGGTGGGCAAAGGAAGATCTGATCGGAAGGCTGAGCAGTGACAGACATTGTCACAAATAATGACTCGGCTGCAGAAGGTCACCCGTGGTGGACGGGAGGACTGTGACAGCAGGTGCAACCATGTTGGCGTTTGATTCATCTTGGGGTGTGACAACAGGGTCTAGAAAGGCAGTAGTTCAGGGTGAGTACTGCTGTCCTGTGACCGGCTGCAGAAGGATGTCCATATCTATGGCTGATCACTGGCTGCCTGTGGCACAGTCAAAGCCACGCACAAGAAGACCTGTCACGGCAAAGGAAAAAGGCAACGCTCTTAACACCAGCAACAGGGTAAAGACTCAGTTCCATTGCAGGTAGCTCCAGAGACATTTGGAAGTTCAGCCAAGGCAGATATACAGCCCTGGTGAGGAAAAACTATGGATGCCACCCAGCCTGTAGACTAAACCAAACAGAAACAGACAGGAAAGAGAGAGTCCAGGAGATAGCTGTGAGAACCAGTGCGTGCCTTTGGTGAAGGTGAGTCCTGTGTGGAGTTCCCACCTCTCACACTGCAGAGTCCACAGCTTAGACATCTTTTTTCTTTCTTCAGAAAACCATCTTCCTTCTGTAGCCCAACTACTCCAAAAAGTCTGTATGCTTTCTTTTTCTTTCAGAAAATGGGGGATTTAAGGGCTCACCGAGAGCTTGGTTCTGTAAGTTGGTCTTGTTTCAATCAAGAAAATCCTCAGGCAGTCTGGAATCCATTTCATTCCTTCCTACTCTGCAGCCCCCTTTGAGGCTTCCTGCTGGCCTCGAATTTGTTTTACATAGGATGGCTCCAGATTACTCTTAAAGCCCTGTTCCCTGCAGCCTGGCGCTGGAACTAAGCTCTTCCAGTCCTGGGGGAGTTACAGCCTGACTTTCTGCTGATGTGAATTTCTTTGTAATCCAGACCTTTCTCTTTCTGATGTTTTCTTATGCATTTCAACAGGCAGACTTTTGAAATTGGAAAATGGAGGTTGAGGGTGTCCCTACCCAGTGGTGGAGAGTTGTCACTTAGACGTGACAATAAAGATCTGAGATTATTCCAAGCTTATTTTAGCACTTGGTGATGGTGGGATTCTGAGAGTGTGGTTTGTGAGGTTACAACCTGATCACAGATTGGGACGTGATTATTTACTGCATGGAAACATTCAATCAGCAAATATTTACTCAGTACTTTGGTATTTACATTATCATTCCCAAATATTTGCTGCCAGTCCCTCTGGAAAGATTATATGTCCGTGTGCCAGTGACATAAGGGAAAGCCACTTGCTTTGTTTATCCAATGGGAAGTCAATAGCAGACACCTGTAAGTTCCAGACAGAAACTGTAAGAGCCCATGTAAGGTTCACGCTGTCTGTCTCCCCACCCCCTGCCAAGGACAGGAGATGTTCCTGACTGAGTCCCTGAGCTGAAAACACACTCAGTGGAGCCACAGAAGCAGCATAGTGGACATGAGTCATTTAGCCCAATCTCCGCTGATAGAACAGAATTCATAATAGTTATGAATGTCTTTAGATCATGGTTTGGAGAGTGGGAATTCCAAGATCAGGGAACTACAACTGCTGCAAGGCTTTGAGCTGTGTCGTCCATGGTAGGAGGAAGGGCAGACACATGCCAAGTGTGGGAGCCAGACTCGCCACCACCATCGCTGCCACAACCACCCGGTCCTCCTCCTCTTCCTCTTCTTTCTTCATGCGTGCGCATGTGTGTGTGTGTCTGTGTGTGTATCTGTGTGAGTGTGTGCCTGTGTGTGTATATCTGTGTGTATCTGTGTGTGTGTATCTGTGTGTGTGTGAGTGTATGTGTGTGTGCATGTGTGTATGTGTCTGTGTGTGACTCTGTGTGTGTGTGTATGTGTGTGTGCATGTGTCTGTGTGTATATATGTGTGTGTATCTGTGTGTGTATGTGTGTGTGTATCTGTATGTATGTGTGTGTGTATCTGTGTGTGTGAGTGTATGTGTGTGTGCATGTGTGTATGTGTCTGTGTGTGTCTCTGTGTGTGTGTATCTGTGTGTGTGAGTGTATGTGTGTGTGCATGTGTCTGTGTGTATATATGTGTGTGTGTATCTGTGGGTGTGAGTGTATGTGTGTGTGCAGGTGTGTATGTGTCTGTGTGTGACTCTGTGTGTGTGTGTATGTGTGTGTGCATGTGTATGTGTGTATATATGTGTGTGTATCTGTGTGTGTGTATCTGTGGGTGTGAGTGTATGTGTGTGTGCAGGTGTGTAGTGTATGTGTCTGTGTGTGACTCTGTGTGTGTGTGTATGTGTGTGTGCATGTGTATGTGTGTATATATGTGTGTGTATCTGTGTGTGTGTGTGTGTATCTGTATTGTGAGTGTGTGTGTGTGTGTAAGTGTGTGTGTGCGCGCGCGCGCGCGCGCACGCGCGCGCAGATTCTCATGTACATACATGTGAATACTGTATACTGAGGACTCAGGTCAACCTTGGGATTCTTCCTCCCTCAGTCACTCAGATGCCTTCCCTCAGCCACAGGATTCCTGTCTTCAACTTTTTGGAACTCAGCCACCATATCCAGCACATTTATGTGGATTCTGGAAATCGAACTCAAGTCCCCATGCTTGCTCACCAGCCCCCCTATTTATTTATTTATTTATTTATTTATTTATTTTGTATACATTGTTCTATCTGCAGGCCAGAAGAGGGCACCAGATCTCATAACGGATGGGTGTGAAACACCATGTGGTTGCTGGGAATTGAACTCAGAACCTCTGGAAGAGCATCCAGTGCTCCTAACCTCTGAGCCATCTCTCCAGCCCATCCCCTCTCTTTCTAATAAGCTGCTTTTATTTTCCCATTAATGGCACAAAAGAGGAACATACATGCATGCACACACTATATCATCACTGTTTAAAGACTCTGTCTCCTTTTTTTTTTTTTTTTCACAAGAGGAAAGTTTTTCAGCACGTGAGAGAGAGAGGTGGTGACAGGGCAGGCAAGTTGAGATTTCAGCAGCTTCTGGGAAGAGAGAAACATGTCACTGCTTTCTGAGCTAGGGGGTCAAGGAGCAAGCAGAATGGACGTTCTGAAGGTAGCAGCATTTCTAAGGTAGGATGAGGCACTTTTCAGAGACCTGAAAATGCCCAGATTGCCCGCAGAAGCAGGCTTCGGTTTTGATGAGGGTCTAGAGTGGGAAGATGGAAAGGGTAAAAGTTAGGGTTTCTGAGTTAGAACTTAGAAAGTGGCAGGCTTAGCAGTGTGTTCACAGGCAGCCACATGGCGGGAGAGGCTCCGGGGATGCATTGGTGCAGACTTCCTTCATCATGGGGCAATTATTCCTCCCATTTTCTTTTCTCGTCTTTAAGTGTGTCACAACCCTTCCCACCTTCTGGTTCTAGGATGGTCTTCTTCACGCTAACGCTTTCCCAAATGAGCTACATGTCAGCTTCGTAGACAGATCTATAAGTCGCAAGCCATGACTTTCTCCTTGTCACAGGAGATCTGTGGTTCCATCCGGGAAAGGGAGATGCATTCTGTCTACAGCACAAGGGTATAAGCAAGCACCAACCAAGCTAAAGGGGGTGACGGCCAACCGTGCTATTTATCAAAAGGTGTCCTAACGCTGTTTACAATGGCAATTGAATTTCAACTCGAGT